CAGGAATTTATAGCTGGAGGCCCCTGCCAAATTGGTGTCAAGTCAGATTTGAACCTGACATCTGTTGTAAATCCTTACCTTGAAAAAGTGCTTTTTAAGCCAGTCCTGAGCTGCAGCACTTATCATCATCATACTTAAGGCTGGCTGAAGGATTTGCTGCAGGCTATGTCTGGTTTCCAGCACTTCAGAAAGCATAGCTGAGTGCACCGCTTCGAATTTCACTGTACCAGGAGCACGCCTCTCGTTCTTAGAAATGACTGCAGTTTATAAAACCTTTGTGCTGTGGCTGGAGGGCTTTCTTCCAGCTTGGACTACAGATAAGTGTCTGCTCTCTGATGGATTTTTGTGTCGTCTTTGTTGCAGACAATGTCAAAACAGATCGGGCCGTGGCAATGGGGAATGGAATTTATATTTCTTGGAATTCTTACCCCAACATAACCTGTGGCTACATAGTAAAATGGTGTCATTCATCTGGGTCTGAACCCTGTAGCGTGGACTGGCAGAAATTTCCTTTAAATACAACAGATGCAGTGATAAAGTCTGGTAAGTCAGGAACAATTTTTTGTGGGTCTTTCTGGTTGAGAGCCTGAGCAGTGAGTGGAATGAGAGCAGCACCAATGCTATAGGTTGAAGATTGTTGCATTGCTGTGTGCTTGTGTATATAAAAGAACCCCTTCTTGGTACTGTGTTTATTTTAATTTCTCACACAGCCTTGCCAAATCCAAATATCTGTCTTGACTTAACTGTTATCATCCTATGTTTATTAACTGTTTTGAAATTACCTCTTCTAGCTACACCCAACAACTTCCTAACTCAGCCTAATGCATAATGGTTAATCTAGAGTTTGGGGCTTTATTTGGATTCTAAACATAAACAGTGCTGCTCAGGATGGGGGAAGACTAATCCATTGTTTTTACATGAGGCAGATTTTTTTTAAGTGTGACCTCCATGTGTTGGCTTGCTGTCAGCAACTGAAATTTCCTGGAACAGGGCACATTCCAGGTCTCTAGATGCTGGTGGGCAGATCAGGGAAATGAAACTCAGCTGTGATGGGACCAGTAGAAGCAGAAGAGGAAAGAGAGGACCCAAGAAAGATGTAGGATTTTTCTCTGCTGTCTAAAGGGATATATATTTGCTTTTTAGAAGAGTTTAGTATACAAAGTCCCCATCAGAGGAAACAACTTGGAGCTGTGTACACGGGAAAGTTGGGGGGAGTGGGACCTGGGAGGGGGAGCAATATGTTTTCCTGCCTGTAATTACAACACTGTGTCCATGTTGTTTTCGTTTGTGCTGGCTTGCTTTTTCTAAGCAGACAATACTATGTCTGTATAACGATGCACTGCTGTAGTCCTGAGCTCTTCCCAGGGATGCTTCTTGCAGCATGTTGTGGGAGTTACCCAGCTGCTAGGGCTGGGCTCAAGCTGGCAAATTCACCTCTGTGCTAGGAGAACCTCTCAGGCTGGACCTGAACTCTTGCAAAACCTACTTGATTTCTGTAGGGTTTCACAGTGGCATCTTGTTTAGAAAAGATCTTGAAAATAGTGTGCACCGCTGACTTGAGAAAATCCCAGGAAGTGGTAAATTATTTACATGTTGTAGTATCAAATACCTATGCCTCCACCAAAGACACATGAAGCGAAAATTTGATGACTGTGTTTTGTAGAGTCAGTTCAGGCCTGGAGTTTATTGCTAAACTGCTTCACTATCACTTTTGAGGGTTCTCTGAATTTCCTTTGTACTGTTGCTGTAATAAGCCTGGGTATTTCAAAATGCATTTGTATTTCTGAGGAGGAGGCAGGATCTACATGACTGCTGTGGGAGGAAAGGAAGGGAATTGTTTCTGGTAACTTCAGTTTGTGTTTCCCCATGGAAAGAGCAATTTGTGCAATTTGAGTAGCTTGTTTTGAATCCTACTTGTTTAGAACCAAAATTTCTGCAGGAGCTAGATTTGCTTTCTGCTTCTAAACCGCATCTGATGGCATAGCTTTTATAGGATTTACAAGTAGGGATAGTATTTATACCTAACACTGTGGTCTAAGACTTTGTAATTTTTTAATACATATTTATGTAAGTCTGCATCATGTGAAAGCTAAAAGCATCACTCTTCGTAAGTGAAATATTCTTACAGTGATTTTCTCTTGCAGCTCTCTTTAGACCTGGTGTGAGATACAACTTTTCACTGTATGGCTGCAAAACCAGTGGATATCAGTTATTGAAAAACATAACTGGGTATATGAAAGAGCTGCGTAAGTGCACTTTATCATTCAGGATCTTTACAAAGTGAATTTAGACTGTGTCTGGTTTTAGCTCATTGTTGGCAGAAGAAGATTGAGACCAGAATCTCCATACATTACTACTGACTTCTGCTTGTTCTCTGTATATAATAGTAATAAATTTCTCCGGCCACTTCTAGTTCCCAGTATGCAATAACCCCTCCCATACCAACCTTGTCTGGGTAACTGTGGTTTGATTCAGGGCTGAGCTTTGCTTGCCTGGAGACGCATTAGTGTCTGAATGCTTTCTGTTCCCGGGTATCTGAACATGGCTTTACCCTTTAACATCACAACTGTATTGTATTGTAACTGCAGCACCCATTTCACTTTGAAGTTTAATGTTTTTTCTGCTAAAATAATATGCTTGGAAAACTGAGCTGCTGACATAATCTGAACCCTTGGAAATGCCATTGTTTATTCCATTGCTAAGGTTGAAGGTGAGGTAAAGACAATTTTACCAGAAACTCAAATTTCAGCCATTTGTATGTCTATAAAAATCCTTAACATTTCCCAGAAGGTTTTTCCATATGTGTTCTCAACAGATTGGAAGCTTTCAAGGTGAAAGGATAAAGACTTTGGGAGACTAAAAATGCATCAAACGTACAGAAGAAACTTACTAGGAACTGAGAAATGTATTGACTTTGCACAAGAGCATAGATTCATTCTAAAACTTCACATTTGCCTTTGGACAGATAACCATCAAGACAAAAACAGATGCATTCTTAAACATGAGTTCAGCACTGGTAGATCAATGCCAAATGTCAAGACTAGGTCCTGATGCACATGACCTTACACAATATCTGCAGTAACACTTTCAGTGGGGTACAGGTATTGGAATAAGGACTTGTGATGCCTGATAAGAGTAGTTCTTCTAAGCTGAGAGAGATTTCCATGATAGGAATGTGGAGTTTGTTTAGTTTAAAGACAAGCTATGAAGTCACAGAATTAAAGCCTTTGAAAGCTAAGTAATTTGTATGCTCTGAAAGTTTATGCAATCTTTTGGGGTTTGTTGCAGGAAGAAGGGTTTTTACATGTATAGGTCTTTAAGAAGGCTGTCCAAGGAGAGATTTTTCTTTCAGCTTCTGATAGTAGATAATTAATTAATTAACTAATAACAGTGAGACTGACATACTTGTATTTTTGTAGTGTCTCCTGCAAAGTCTTTTCATGTGTTCTTGACAGTGAGGGTGAAGTATTCAGGAAAAAGTTGAAAATGCTAGCCCTGACATAAAACTGATGAAACACGTGGATTCAGCATTTAATGATAACATGGTTTCTTACTATTTTTTTCCTTTGTAATTCTCCCTACAGCTCCAAAGCGTGCACCAAATTTTACTGTAGAAGAAACTTCTTCAGATTCTATATTGGTAAAATGGGAAGACATTCCTATTGAAGATTGTCAGGGGTTTATAGAGGGATATCGTCTTTCCTTTGCGAAAGGTGAAAAAAATGCTTTAAAGCCTAGGCTTTCGGAATCAGGTAAATGAAATCTACAGATTGCAACTTCCTTACTTAAGCTTTTTTTTTTTTTAAATAATTTAATTAAACTTTAGAAAAAGATGCTTTAATCATAAGTCAGTTGCATTACTCAGTGGAATAATTGGCCCCTGATATGTGACAAAGGCCTTTGAAATAATAAACTCCTTGTATGGTTAGCACAGTTGTTTTTTAATATAAGGCAAAAGTCGGAGAATACCCTGGCTCACTGAGGCCATAAAGCTGTGCAGTGACTAAGTGGCAATGTGACACACTGCCCTGTGTACAGATACCCTGGGTAGATGAGACATGGGGGAGGTGACATGGCTATATTTACTTGGGTATATTCTTCCAGTACCCATCTTGTAAGGACATCTCTGTACAGAACTGAAGCCTGACTCACATTAATGTAAGAGGACAAGCAGGAGTGTAAGAAACTGAAGCCAATCTGCAGCAACAATACACTCCTGTGCTGTTTGGTGCTGTGTCAGCAAGCAGCATTGCTAAGAGTCTTTATTTCAGTTTTTCTTTACACAGACTGTTCTTCAGGTTTCATATGCTGACCTCAGGAAAGTCTTGCTAAAGCTGAGGCTGTCTTTGTGAATCCTTTCTATCAAAGTTACGCTTTTCTTAATGCTTTCCAAACGAACAGGGAATCCAGAACTTAAAGTTAAGAATATCACTGACTTAACAAAGAAGACTTTGAAAATACTTGATCTTCAAGGCAAAACAAGTTACCAACTGGACCTACAAGCCTACACTGCTGGTGGGTTGAGCCCTCCAAACAGCCTCTATGTGGTGACAAAGGAAGACTGTAAGTTGAATAACCCTGTTCGTTAATAGTCTTCAGCACAGGGACTGTACAAAGTGTAAAACTGAGTTTTGTGTTTTGTTTTTTTTTTTTCCTGGTCCTTTTAGGTAGTTTGGGCATACAGTCTGATTTTTAATTTATTTAATTGGTTGTTATTTAGTTGGCTATTTTTAAATACCAAGAATGGCAGAGTTCAGGGTGAGGAAAAGATCTCTTCTTATTACAGCTACCCTGAAGTTCATGGTAATGTATGCAAGAAAAATAACTTCTAAACTATTACTAAATATAGTGGAGTCTGAACTTAGTCTTCTGAAGCAGCTAGTTGTTTTTGTCAGGTTTCCCATGATGAATATCTGCTAATACATGGTGGGAAGAAAGACATTGTGGAAATATTTACCAGTTTCAGAATTATAAACAGATGCCTCTCTGCTTTGAATTCAGTTTTATCGATCCCCTGACAGAAACAAACCCAGAAAGACAGTTAGAAAAAAAGAGATTGACTTTGGAGAATGAGGGGGAAAAAAAGTATTTTATATAAAAGACTAAACACTAGGATGCAACTAAAATACATGAAAAATCCAACTTGAGGCACTTAACGTCAATGGAGGAAGGCAGTGGGAATGTATTGGAGCTAAACCCTGGGGATTAGAAGCATTGTAACCCATATAAAAGGCAGTGTGGTTTGTGTAGTAAGTTGTTGGCCTATAAGAGCCATTATCAGAGATTTAGCCAGCTCAAGGAACATGTAAGTGCAATTCCAGTGCTTACTGAGAACAGAATTGCAGTGGCAATCAGTCTTGTGTTGCACATGAAGCCTTTCGCAATTAAGCAATTGGAGAGAAGTATCTGCTGATTCCTGTAGTTATCACTGACTCAGCTCTGTTTATGGATGGACTTTTGCCCTTCCAGCAAAGGAGAAGTGTATGGTATTGGTCACTGTTTGCAGACCACTGTTAGATGAGTTTAATGAAATGGTCTCTAATCTGGGGGAATGTTAGAAAAGGCATAAAGCTTGCTGGTAACTTTGGAGATACATATTTACTGTCTTTTCTTTCTTTGTCCCCCAGCTGTAGGATTAATCATTGCAATTCTCATCCCTGTGGCAGTGGTTGTGCTGCTTGGAGTGGTGGCCAGCATCTTCTGCTACCGAAAGAGGGAATGGTAAATGCCTGCATTCAGTTCTGATCCTTTCCTGGATGTGTTTGCTTCAGTGCTAGAATTTTCCATGATTTTAGTTACTCTTTGTTTTCTTCAAGTACCCAAAGATGTCAGTGAGCCCAAAGATGGGTGGTAAAAACACATTGTAGAAGGTGAGGGAGAAATTGAGTTGGAGAGAGGTCAGAGTGAGGAATGCAAAAAAGTTTTGCAGGAGCCTGTTTCCCACTGAGCACCGTTTATAAATAGTTCCCGAATGGAAATGAGCTGGCGACATACTGTAATTTGTGAGCCGTTCACAAACACTCAGGTAGACATCCCATCTTCGACTTTTCGTAAACATGGCATATCAAGTTCCCCAGTTTAAAAAAAAAAAAAAAAGGTTTGCTGTTTTTTCCATTAAATACGCAGTGAAAGTGTAAGACGCTAAATCTTTGGGCCAAATGTCTTCAGTATTTTGAATTAAATGGACACATCCTGACTCCTTTTATGTATTCCCAATCTGTTTCAGGGCTTGGTAACTTTTAAAAGTTTGTTCTTTCCTCTTTAAAGGATTAAAGAAACATTTTATCCAGAGATCCCGAATCCTGAGAACAGTAAGGCACTGCAGTTTCAGAAGAACATCTGTGAGGTAACCCTCATCTTAAATCTAGTATTTTAAACTTCTGACAGGTATTGCAAGTAAAGAATTCTTTTGCAAAATTTGAGCCTTCTGCTACGGTTATAGAAAAAGCTGTGGCAGGAGGAACAGGACAAGTTACTCAGTAACTTTTGTCAAGTGCTATCTAGAGTTTTCTTGTTCATGTAGTTACTTGCAGTGTTTGAACTAGGAAAGGACTGCATTTCTCTCCTCCCGCACTGAAAAGAGGTGTCAGTACATGATAACAATGTGGGAGTAACATACCCATCTTTGTCATAGCATTAGGAGAAGCAGAAAGCATAGAAAAGTGTACATGCTGTATCCCCAGCCTCCTGGTAGACATAGTAGCTGGAACTGGCATAACATTTAAACAACTTTCTGGAATGGGTTTGAAAGAGTTCTCAAACGCTTACTGCAAGATCTGGAGTCTCTTTAAGTTGGCTAAAATACTTTTGACATTAACATTAATATGTGATGAGCCAGAAAATGAGAATTAAAACTTTTTTTTTATATTGTACTAATGGCAATGGGATGAGTGCAAGCCACAAGCCAACATACTGGTTTAACTTGAGCAAGTTGTTGCTTTCAGGTTTTCCAGGTCTTTTGGCTTAGTCTTTCCCCCTTCTCCTTTTTCTCACTGCAGGGAAATAAGACCCTTAAAACACTGGAAATGAACCCATGCACCCCAAATAGTGTTGAAGTGGTGGAAACACGGTCTGCAGCTCCCAAGATTGAAGACACAGAGATGATGTCCCCAGCAGCAGACACCACGGTGCCTGAAGATGGCTCTGACTCAGAAACGGAGAACCATGTGGTTGTGTCCTACTGCCCTCCTATCATTGAAGAGGAAATCTCAAATCCCCCTATGGATGAACCTGTGGGATCATCTCAGGTGGTTTACATTGACATCCAGTCAATGTATCAGCCTCAAATTAAATCAGAGGAAGAGCCAGAAATAGACTTAGTGACTACAGCAGGCTATAAGCCACAAATGCAGCTGCCTGTCAGTGCTCTGAAAATAGAGAGTCACTCACCTGCAGAAGAAGAATTAGATAAAACCGCAGGTTACAGACCTCAAGCAAACACAAATGCCTGGAATGTGGACACTCCAGACTCCCCTGGATCAGTTGAAAGCAACAATGAAAATGGATCTTTTGGGAGCCCATGCTCCATTAATTCTCGACAGTTTCTGCTTCCCCCAAAAGATGATGAAGACTCTCCCAAACCTAGTAACATAGGGTGGTCCTTTACACACTTTTTTCAGAACAAACCAAATGATTAACAGCCAGTCCTCATCACACCTGAAGCTGCCTTCTAAATAAGCTCTTATTCCTGACGTTGTCAAGAAAGGAAGAAGAAAACTGCAAAAGGCATGAATTATTCTTGGAGACAGTCAGCAGAGGTTCTAGTGAGCTGAATGTTACCATGTTTAAGTTAGCGAAAGTGTTAATGTTCCATTTTAATAGAGGCCAAGAGGCCTAAGTATAGCAATTTAGTTATTACTCTAGTAGAATATATTGGATATAAGAGGTATTGAGTTTAGAGCTCCTGATAATCATAGTCAAAGAACTCTGCCTACCTTCACATAGTGCTCCAAGATTAATATGGTCTCATGCAACTTATGACTTGGGAAGATTGCTTTGCTTTGTTGTAGTTGTTCTCAACTGTGCATACGCAAATGATGCAGCCCCAACAGGTTGCCTTACTGAAGGTTTCGTTTATCACAAACCTCAGCTTAACACGTGGAAACAATGTGGTTGGAAACTCTTGAGTTCTTTTAGCTAGTTATAAACTAAGAACAAATGAGAGTGCTATTTCTTTTTTCTTCTCCCATACGGAAGGGTATTGTCACTGTTTAACACTTCTGAAGCAATGGCCATTCAAATCTGTTGCTTTTTAACTAGACACTAGTTTCTGTACCTACTGTACAATGTTTATTCAATGTTTGACTCAGGGGTACAAACTTGGGGAAAAAAAGTGTAACACTGATTTAAACCTCAACAAGAACTGCATAAAGTTAATTTTTTTTTTTTTAACTTAGAATGCTCTATATTTTTTCTATCCTTTGTTTAAGGAGTTAAATCTTTCCTAAGGTATTGCACTAATGCATTTTGTATTTCATAGCTTCAGCTCCAGATGTCCTGCTTCAAAGTGGTACAATACTCCATTCACCCGCAGTGTTCAGCAGTCTTTGCACTATACAGTAATGTAAGCCATGGGAAATCTCTGTCTACTAACATTAGCTGCCCAAGCAGTTTGGCACACAAAATTAGAGGTAGTAGTACTAGCTCCTTGAGAACAAATTGCTCTTTGGATGGTCTGTATTGTATTAGCTTTGCCACTTGCTGCCTGGGTGTTCTCCAGTGCCTACTCAGCAGGACTTTCTCTACAAATCGTATCTGGGAGTACAAGGTGGGATTTTGCTACTGCAGGGAGGAATCCAAGGAGGTTTTAGTGCCGCTAATTCTACCTCTCCTCTACCAGACATGTGATGCAAAGAAAGCTTAAATGATGTACATTTGTGTGCTTAAAGGAGTGTTCAGAGCAATCATCTTTGAAAATGTTTGTTTTCACATACGCATCTCTAGGCAGCTGCAATTGTAACACTTCACTGTTTAAACTTCAGACTGTGGCACGCATGAATTTCACTAGCTTACAGGAGAAAGTACTTTCTACCTTACCTGTTCCTTACTGCAAAACACAGTGGTGAGAGGTCAAATGTTAAAGAGCTTCATCAAAAAGGGTGTCCATAAAGTCCTAATCTTTTTTTTTTTTTAGATTTCAATTTCCTTAGCTACTTTGTGGGTGTTTGAGTAAATAAGATGGGGAAGTGTTTTTCTATACAAGATCCCAAAACAGATAAGGAGGCTGAATTGGCTAAGCTGCTAGTTGTAAAGGTGTGAGAGCCGACCAGGAGGGCAGCTAGCTTGACAGGCATTTGGTCTCCAAACCACATGATCTGGTCATCAAAATAAAACCAAACATTAGGTTAAACCTAATCGCAGCAACAGATGGTGCAATTTCAGATGTTGGTATTTCTCTGCCATCTCCATAGAATGAAAATACAGAGGGATTTCAAAACTGACAAAAAGGCAAAACACTAAACAGCATGCAAATCATCATCAGTAACAACTACCTGTGTGTGTCTCCTGGAAGAGTGAACCGTGAAGGCAGTAAAAATAGATCCGTCTGCAGACCTGAGAAAGTGCAAAGTGTGTCTGGAAGAACAGAAAGTGCAGATACGATTCTGCTTTTGAGGTTGAATCTTGGAATTAGCAGAGCTATGAGTGAAAAGACAGACAGTGCAAAGAGCTGGTGTCCATCTGTCACCAGACATCACCACAAGAGAAAGTTTAATGCCTACTCTATTACTGCCTGTTATTCAGAACACTAATATATAAAAGGAAGCAGTTCTGCCCTTTGTGCTTGCTAGCTGGGAGGTGGCTAAATCCTGATAGTATCAACTCTTTCTCACAATGTCTTTTAGAGCTGATTTCGCTAGTGGAGATTTGGCTTAATGTGTTTATCTCCTAAGATCACTTTTAGATTGTGCTGCCATATGCTTTTAATTGAAAGCAGAAGATTTCATGGACAGAGTGTATGGGTAGTGGTTTGGGTTTTTTATGGAGCAGTTTCTCAATGCAGAGAAGCAATTAGTATTGTGTGGTGATCCGAACAAAAAAAAACGTCTGTAGCGGAACAGCTGATCATAAAGAATAACTGTGCTTTCATATGGCTGTGTACTGCAAGTAACAAAACCAAACTGAAGTTTGAGATTACTAGCAATTTTTAGTTTGGCAGACTGGAAGCCAGGGCAGCTGCAGAGAAGTCGCAGGGAGCAGCCTAACAGCCTTCGCAGTGCTCCTGTGGTGAATCACTTAAACACAAGCATCACATACTCAGGTTTTACTTTGTGCTGTTCTTCCTATTCAGTAAAGGCAACAGCATTTTAAATTGCTTCATTTCTTAGTGATTAAGTAGGGGGAAAGGAGTACACATCATCTTGTATCAGTAGCAGAAGAGCGGGGCAAATGGGGAGAGACACAGGCTTGTGCAGTGTATGTAGCATCATTTACTGTTGCTTAATGGTTATGAACCAGTAAGCAGTTTTCATTCCAGCACTTGAAAACTCCCCTGCTTCACCTCAGTGGTTTCCTTTGAGCCTATTCAGTACTGCTAGTGAGGACACCTTTCAAATGCCTATCTTAAATCTTCAACAGCAAATCCAAATACCAGATGGGTAGTGAGAGATTGTGTGTTACTTTATTGATCATGTGAAGACCCCTCTAGGTGCATGGAGCAGTAAGAATGAGTGACAAGGACTGTCAGGGAACGGACTTGCTTTCTGAGCCCAAGTGCCAAGTTAAACCAGTAAAGCGTCTTTAGGAATGTCTTCATGCCAAATTCACTTTCAAAGCACTGTGCTGTTTAGCCTCTAACTACATTGATAACAATTGTAAGACTAAAACTTTGGGCTTCAGAGGGGATCGGACTCCTTGTACTGGTGCCTTCAGGCTTCCTGGTGAGCCTCTTCAGTCAAATTGTTTCTGAAAAACGTCTTAGGAAACTTAAAGTACTGCATTTCATAGCCATCATTTTCTGAAAGATCTTAGTCCTTTATTGAACATCTATTTTGTTAGTTCTTTTGGCTTTTTGCTTTTTTTCTAGAAGAATAGAAAGTTCAGCTTTTTAACAAAACAACTTCCAGAAGGGATATGACCAGAAGGGATTGTGTCCAAAACCCTGTTTCTCCTAACTCAGTACTTCAGTCCTCCAGTTGGATCAGTGTTGAGAAATGTAGGGTGTTAATGCCAAGCAATTTCTTTCTGAAGCAAATCATCGGTGCTGCTGCTTTTTATTTTTGAGCCATGCCTGTCATATGTGACAATTTGGGGTTTGTAATGGGTTTTTGTACTGTTCACTGTATATGTGGAACATCAGTCATGTTTGATGTAACATCGTGCACTCTCCTATTTGACACATTAATTATTTTTGTTGTTCTGACATGCAGGGGGATATGGGATCTTGGTTTTGTGTGTTAAATTTTGAAATGGTAGATCTGCATGTGATATACCTCACAGAACTACTAATTAATATATCAACAAAATAGTAAGCTAATATTACAGGCAGGCAGTGAATTACCTCCCTGCTATGCAGTGGCTGCATAGGCAGACTTAGGACCCAATGACTGACATTTGCTGTGGTAGCTGTCTATATTACCTGTAGTTGCTGCTTTCATGGATAAACCATTTCCAAAGGGAACCGGTAGCCGTTTTATCCATCACGGCACAATCGGCAAATGTGCCGTGTTTCTTCATCTTTGATTTACGTGGGGGACCAGAGCTTTCCTCTGCTGGGAACACAGCAGCAGCAAGCTCCTGATGACCTTGAGTTTTAGGCTGCTCTGAAGAGTCACGTTCAAGCCGCTTTTGGGGTTTTTTTTTGATATGTTCAGCTGGGTAAAGCTTAGGGCTGTGGTGTTTCCTGTGATCTTGTCCTCTAGGACACTCAGTTGAACATGAATAGTAGCAAAAATGAAGGCAATTGGATGCATTGGAGTGAGAAGGTGTTTAGACATCACTCTGAAAAGGCAATGAGAAATCGTGTGCTCTATTTTTAGATAAAAACTGTTTTGTAAATAGAATATTTGTATACCTACAAGTAGATAGAAATATAGTAAAAGAATTTGAAATACATAGAAAAAATGTAACATTTAAAGAATCAGATTGCTAACAAGGCTCCGTGTACCATAAATCTATCAAGAGCTTCCTACGTAAATAGCATCTTCTGTTCCGCCACAGACTTTCGTGAAGACTTCAGTGCAAATGGCATTAGTATTTTTAACACTAAGAAAAGTCTTAACCCCTTATACACATATGTGCTAACATCATTATGTGCCTAGGTGCATATTGCAGAGAAAGTTGGCTTGTAATTCCCAAAGTGATTTTTTCGGAGCCCTGTACTTGAATATATGCCTTCTCAGATGCAGTTTCATCTGGAGGAAACAGCTGCACTCCTCCCTACACTGCATTTGTGCTGCTGTGCATTAAGCAGTGCCCTGTGTGGCTGATGCTCAGAGATGCTGTTGGCAGTTTGCAAGATTTGTCATTGGCTTTTTCTTTGCCTTTTCCTTAGCAAGCCTGGAAACACAGATCCAGACCCCAAATGCCCCAGATTCAGAAATGTTGGAGTGTTTAAAAACTAATTTCCTCATGCTTAGGCCTGTCTTAAATTTTTAAGTATCTCCTTAGAAGCTGGAAAACAGTTTCTTCCCTAACAATTTTCTTTCCTCTCCTCCCCCATTTATATAACTCTGGATTTTCCCCAGTGTTTCTAAGATAGCCAGTGTTTGTTTCCTTTTTGCATGTTATGCAAACAAACCTCAGACGATACTGGCAGGGGTTTCTGTAACTCTACAAGTTGTCCGAGGGTGCATGACAATACTTTTTCCCCCACAAAAAATGTCTATTAATTCCTTCTGCTTTTTCAACAAAAAAGTCTCCAGAGAACTTTTGTATGTCAGAGGCAGGGGCTCAGCATCCCTTTGCAGGTGAGCTCATCTAATGGCATGGTGCTGCTGCGTGAGAGGATGGGGTTAATCCCTCTCCAGCCTCACCCTCTCCTTATGCCAGAGCTCCCCGGGTGACTTTGTGGTGCAGCAGAGCAGATGACATCCTTATTTTTTAATGTGATACCTAACAGAATCTCTAGGTAGGTTTTTGGACGATCCCAAATCTGCACTTCGACTGTTGTAACATGAAAGCAGGCTCCAGTGGAAGTGTATGTACGACTTCCACAAGAAGGTTCTATACCATTGCAACTCATTTGGTCTCATGTTGTGAAAAATGTAGTGAGTGAAACTTACCCAGGGACAAAGCAAAAATTGAAATGTTCTCATTTTCATTATTTGGGCTGAGGAAAACTCAAAAAAAGAAATAGCTTAAGCAGGGCAAAGTAAAATAGGAACAGCCAAGGCTTCACGCTTTTTAGTAATACAACAAAAAAGGGAATCCTTGAACAT